TTTATACATAGCTTTAAAAGCTAAGCAGTATTATAGGGCCCATATTAAGAAATGTTCCTGACCCAGGCCTGCTCCCGTATTGCTATATATGATGCTCACACCTCTGTTTCTTGATTTATTTAGATATTATATATATAAACATGTTATATACAACATATAACAGATATATAACCACATGTATGTTATATATAACATATTTTTATAACATAATTAATAACATTACATATTTTAAACTTGTGTTTTATTGGCATATATATGACATATAATATATACAATATGTCTAATATATATATATACACACACACATCCTTTATGATGTACCATGAAGATTGACCCTGTTTTTTCATCCTCTCTGTACCGTTATATCATATTTTTGGTTAAATCAGAATTTATTGTGTATAGTATCATGGCTATATATAAATGTTTTAATTATATATAAATAAGTGAAAGTGGCTTTGGGTATGACTGTTTATTATGTAGGCTTTTACTTAACATCCTTGTTTTGGTATTGGGCTCTCTCTATTCTTCCACGTACAGAATTTGGATCCTGTTAGGGCCATTTTCTCTAGAATAAACTCTTGTTTTCTTAGTAGGGTGAGAAAGGGATGTTACTTGGATATTGGGCTGGGAGAAGGAGGGGACCTAACTTAACTGCTCATTATACAGGTTTAAATCAGTTCTTGTGTGATCTTAGTCTCTCCCCATATTCCTTCTTTGTTATTTTTTTGTTTGGTGGCGTTTCCAGTTTCTGAATCTTCCCAGGGTTCTATGACTTGTTTTTTTGTTTGTTTGTTTTAAATATTGTTGTTTGTTTTAAACTCATCTTGTGTTTCATTTTGTTACCTTACAAGACACAGGCATTGGTATGCTTTTCATGTAAAAAAATTGATAGTTGGTTTTATTTAGGATTGGTGCTTTATTGACAGAGGAATATGAGAAAAAAGAGTAAAGGAATTTAAGGTGTTGGTAAAATAATATATCATGGAATCTAAGCTGCATAAGGAAGTCAGGAGGAAGCTGTTGGGTAGGGAAAGAAAGATTTAACATTTAATTGAATGACTAAATGAAATTATAAAAGAAAAGGATTTTATTAGGTAGTAGTGAGATTCAGAGATTGAAATATGATCCTCTGTAAGAGCTTGTATTCTATTGTCTACTTAATTCTATAATCTCTTTCTATGTATATATATTTATTTAACTGGTATATTTGAGGTACATATGATTAATATCTTCAACTTTCCTTTATCTAACGCCTCCTGGGCCAGCTGAATTAGAGAGTAGTAGGCAATTAGGGGAAAAGATAGATTTATACATATATAATTTCTATACAGGACTAGAGATATGAAAAGAAGAGTGGAAGTAGAAATAAAAAAGAATATAGCTTTCATTGGCATTTTTAAAGGGGAAAAAAGGATAATAACTGGTTATCAAAGGCATATTTCAAAAAAATTAGGAACCTCAATTCTTTATTCTTTCTTTATTATCATTATTATTATTATTATTATTATTATTATTTTTGAGATTAAGTCTCACTCTGTTGCCCAGGCTGGAATGCAGTAGTGTGATCTTGGCTCACTGCAACCTCCACCTCCCAGATTCAAACAATTTTCCTGCCTCAGCCTCCCAAGTAGCTGGGAATACAGCTGCTGAAATTACAGTTGTGAGCCAATTCTTTAATCTTTTTATTTCTCTAAAAAGTAATGGAACTTGAGATAGTTAATACTGTTTTCTGAAAATGAAATAGATGAACTTCTTTCATCCTTGTTAGAAAGGAGAGAGGAGGAAGATCTTATTATTTCCTATTTTGTATTTACTAGGGGAGGAGGATATTCAACTGTTTTATACATCTATACACAGGCAACTTAATGGTGGTATCACTAATTTGAAGGGAGATATCTGCTTTGCTGCTGTTAGTAGATTTTGTAATTTAAGTCTATTATAATTCTTACCTAAAAATCTTTTTTTTTGTTTGTGTCTTTTTGTACTCAGGCATAGCTTAACAGAAATTATAAAATTCAACACCCGCAAATTCTAAATGGTCTGCTTTAGCCTCATGGAACAAGAAACTATTTTTTGAAAAATGTTTAGTTGCTTTTTAAAGACCTTTGAAAAGCAGGCTATTAGTGTTCTGTTTACAAATATATATATGTATATTTCAGCAAAGCTACATAAGTATGTTACTTCAATATGTGGATATTTATAGAGTATATTTTTCATTCAAGTTAAAAAAAGGAATATTTGTAATTGTAGAACAACATCTGCCGGAAAAACAGGACACTTTTGCAGAAAAATTAGTTACACAGATCATAAAAAATCTTCAAGTGAAAATTTCCAGTATCCATATTCGTTATGAAGATGATGTAAGTATTTTAATATGTGATATTTGTTTTTCTATTTGTATGTAAGTTATTTTACTGTTTATAGACACCTACTTTTTAATGGCCAACCTGTTAAATGCCAAGAGGATACACAGACCTAAACATGACGTGATCCTTCTTTTCTATAATTATAGTTGTAATTTGGAGTCCTTAGTGTTGAGTGCTTGATTTTACACTTTCCCAAAATGTTCAAATGTTAGATCATGAAGGAAATGCCTTGGTAGTTACGAATTTAGCAGTTATGTATTTTTAAAATACTTTACAGTATGATATAGTTACCTCCTGGATAGAGTACTGGTCTAGGAGTTAGTGGAGTTAGTCTTAAATAATTCCTTGATCTTGAGTAGGTAATTTGTTTTCTCTTAACCACGTAATTATTTGTTTTATAATCCTATTTTGTTAGTCTTTTCTAATAAACATTTTTTGTAAAGTGGAAAATGTGTAATTTCTGTGTAACATGAATACGTTAATAATTAGTATTCTAATTTATTTTAGGAAAAATATAGGAATAAAAGTTTTTCTGGAAAGTAATAAAATGTTTTTGAATATTTGAAATAAGTTGCTTTCCAGAAATTAACATCTTCTTTCCTTCCCTCCCTCCCTCCTTCCTCTTTCCTTCTCCCCTCCCCTCCCCTCCCCTCCCCTCTTCTCCTCCTCCTCCTCCTCCTCATTTCTCCTCCCCCTCCCTTCCCCATTGCCTCACTCATTTGCCAGGCTGGAGTGCAGTTGCCTGATCCTGGCTCACTGCAACCTTGACTTCCCTGGCTTAAGTGATCCTCCCACCTCACCTTCACCCACCCACCTTGCAGTAGCTGGGACTACAGGTACACCCCACCAGGCCTGGCTAGTTTTCTTACTTTTTTTTGTAGAGGCAGGGTCTCATTATGTTACCCAAGCTGGTCTTCAGGGCTCAAGCAGTCCTCCTGCCTTGGCCTTCCAAAGTGCTGGGATTACAGGCAGGAGTCACTGCACCTGGACAGCCTTTTCTATAAAGTGAATTTCGTCTAACTACTAAAAACCTGAGTAAATTTTACTTTCTTTCCTCTTTAGATCACAAATCAAGACAAACCGCTGTCATTTGGTATTTCCCTTCAGAATCTCAGCATGCAGGTATTTTGTTTGTAAGAGAATCTTAACCATATTTAATTGTGCAATGTAGTTAATTAATCTACTGCTATTTGTATATTCTGGCATCAGAAATAGGTGTCTGTGTAGAATGGGCGCAGAAAGGGTCTTGATTGGATTGGAATCGAGGGTATATAGATTCACATTTCAAAAAATTGTTGAAAATCAAATTCAGAAATATGAGGTCCTGTTATTGGTAATTATGATGTTAGATACTTTTGCATACTTTAAAAAAAAAATCCATTTCCAAATTTGTAATGAGTAAGTACAAAATAAAAGTAATAAATGTTCATATCTGAAACTTTCATAAGTCTTGAAAAACATAAACCGTCAGTTCTTTTCAATACCATTATTGTAGCATACTGTTTTCCTGTTTAATTTTTGAAATTGAGGAATTTAAAAAATATAAGAGCACATAGAGAATTTTGAAACATATGCTCACCTCTGGAATGGATGGCGGTTAAGAGCCTATTAAAATGGCCTATTTGCTTCGTCCTAAATATTTCTATAGGAATAAGCTGTTATGGATAAGGTTTGAATCCCTTTTGTTTTCTACTTCTACCTTCCCCTCCTTCCCCAGAGATTAATACCTAAGTTTTAAAAACTTTTATGTAGTACATCTATTAAAAATGTAAGATTTTAAAAGTTTACACACGTTTTACGTGACTTTTTTATAAGTTCCCTTTTGCACTTTCCGGTGTTTTTGACATTTATCTGTGTTTCCACATGTAATAAAATTCATTCAGTTTAACCACTGTATCATATTTCATTACATGGTTTTGTTATATTTATTGGGTTTTGTGTATGATTTCTTTTTTATTTTATCATTATTTTTTAATTGGGCACCCTCCCAAGCCAGAGCAGGCTCAGAGAGACTCCAGAGTTTCTTTTTGAAATGTGGCTTCACTGCAAGGAAAAAAGAAAAAAGCCCTTCAAAAAGTTATTCAAGGCCGGGCGCGGTGGCTCAAGCCTGTAATCCCAGCACTTTGGGAGGCCGAGGCGGGTGGATCACGAGGTCAAGAGATCGAGACCATCCTGGTCAACATGGTGAAACCCCGTCTCTACTAAAAATACAAAAAATTAGCTGGGCATGGTGGTGCGTGCCTGTAATCCCAGCTACTCAGGAGGCTGAGGCAGGAGAACTGCCTGAACCCAGGAGGCAGAGGTTGCGATGAGCCGAGATCGCGCCATTGCACTCCAGCCTGGGTAACATGAGTGAAACTCCGTCTCAAAAAAAAAAAAAAAAGAAAAAGTTATTCAAGTACTGTCATTAATTTGAAAAATAAGAATGGAGATTAGCCATTGGATTTGGCAGTGTGAAGATCATTGGTAACCATGACAACAGTAGTTACTAATCATCACCTTTGGAAGCTTGTCTGCCAGCCTAGACCTATTCAGTTGGAAACTCTAGGATTTGGATGTAGCAATCTGTGTTTTAAAGCCCTCTTGATCAGGGCTCCTGGGCCACAGAGCAGGAGGTAAGGGCTGAGAGTGAACATTACTGCCTGAGCTCCACCTTCTTTCAGATCAGAGGTGGCATTCGAGTCTCCTGGGATTCTCGCAAACCTTAGTGTAAACTGTGCATTCCAGGGATCTAGGTTGTACCTCTGATGGAAAAGTTAACTTCTGTGAAACTGGTCCTTGGTGCCAAAAAGGTTGGGGACCGTTCCTCTAGATGATTCTAATGCATGTTAAACTTTGAGAACTACTGTTCTAATTATCCATTCAGTTCTCCACATAGAAACAAAAACCGTCTTTCTAAAATAAAGATCTGATCACTTTATTCCCCTCAATGGCTTTACATTGCTCTTAGTTTTGTCCTTAAACAGCTTATAAACTCTTTTTAAACCTACCGTAGGCAACATACCTCGTTTTACCTTTTTTCTCTATTTTGCCATATTCTCTCGCTTACTGAGCTACTTCAGTTGCCTGACTGTGTCATATATTTGCCTACCTTTGGGCTCTGCCTATTGTGAATCATATTCCCTGTCAACTTTAGAATCAATAGTTTTTAGTTACACATTATATGTTAGGTTATATATAAGATCTCTTTATCCGTCACACCCCTGAATTTGATGCCCCTGCCATGTCCTCTCAATTAATTGTGTGCTTAACTTATACTGTGTCACTTACCTGTTGGAAATTGCCTTTTTCTTTGTTTGCTTCTCTGACCCACAATGAGCTCCTTCCTTGAAAGCAGATACTTTATTGTGGTCTGTTAGTATTTTTTGACTGTGTGATATGTCTTTAAAGGCGTATTATTCCAGGAAAATGCCTTTGAAGACATATCAGTCAAAAAATACTAACAGATTTATGTCACAGGAAAGGCATAAATCATTATGATAGATAATAATTTATCACTCTGCCATTTCAAATGGAATGATCTTTTTACCTTTTTACTGCCCTTCTTTTTTTTCCTTTTCAGACAACTGATCAATACTGGGTTCCATGTTTACATGATGAAACTGAGAAACTAGTTCGTAAGGTAAAATAAATAAATACTGTATTTGTCAACTCATGGACTTAAGAGAATTTTGGAAAGCCAGATGATGATATATAGATAAGAATGTATGTGAATTGTGTTTATTTGTTTAACTCTGTGATATGGCTCACTTAATTATTTGAGACTTCTGAAAATACTTTATGTTAAGAATTCTTCAAAGAAAATGAGACGTCTAATAAATTTTATTTTCAGCTAATCCGATTGGATAACCTTTTTGCCTATTGGAATGTGAAGTCTCGGATGTTTTATCTTAGTGATTATGATGACTCCTTGGTAAGTAAATTTTTTGAGACGCTTTTATATACTTGTTGGTATCATATTTTGCATGAGGTTTAATTCATTGTCATTTATCTAGCATATTGTAGTCAGTATTTAGGCAAAATCTGTTAACAGAATTTATAGATACAGGTGAAGATGTGACTATACACAAACATGAATACATCCCCATGTATCTTTTTTTTTTTTTTGAGATGGGGTCTTGCTCTGTTGCCCAGACTGAAGTGGAGTGGCACAATCATAACTCACTGCAGTTTCTAAGTTTTGGGCTCAAGCGATCCTCCTTCCTGCCTCAGCCTCTTGAGTAGTGAGAACTATAGGCACATGCCACCATGCTCAGCTAATTTTAAAATTTTTTTGTAGAGACAGGGTCTCACTTTTTGTTGCCCAAGTTTGTCTCAAACTCCTGGCCTTAAGCAGTCCTCCCAACTCAGCCTTCCAAAGTGTTGGGATTACCATGTTGACCAGGCTGGTCTTGAACTCCTGACCTCAAGTGACCAACCCGCCTTGGCCTCCCAAAGTGCTGGGATTACAGGTGTTAGCCACTGCGCCCAATGATACCTGCAAATCTAAGTAGTTCCTAAAACATCCTTTTTTAAGAGTAGTTTAGTGAGATATTGTTTACTTTAATATTTTGCCATAGCTAAGTCCTCCTAAGTTTGAATTGTTTTTTAAAATTGCTTTGAACCATTTTTCTTTTGCAGGTAATAGGATTTTTTAGGATAAAGACATATTGGCTTGAATGTGGCTGGGTGCAGTGGCTCACACCTGTAATCCCAGCACTTTGGGAGGCCAATGTGGGTTGGTCACTTGAGGTCAGGAGTTCAAGACCAGTCTGGCCAACACGGTAAAACCCCGTCTGTACTAAAAATACAAAAATTAGCTGGGCATGGTGGTGTATGCCTATAATCCCAGCCACTCAGGAGGGTAAGGCAGGAGAATTGCTTGAGCCCATGAGACAGAGGGTGCAGTGAGCCAAGATCATACCACTGTAATTTATCCTGGACAACGGAGGGAGACTCCATCTCAAAAAAAGAAATATTGGCATGAATATAAATAAAAGCAATTTGTCTTTTAATAGGACAACTTGAGGAATGGCATTGTCAGTGAAAATATTGTTCCAGAAGGTTATGATTTTGGTAAGTACATTTTATAAGATAAAAAAGGTAAAGTAATTGGTATAAATTTTAAATTAACATTGTTGCTATCACTGTGATAGTTCATGTTAAATTCTCTTTTATATAGTTAAATATATTTTATGTATATACAATATGCATATATATGTATACAGTTAAATATATATAGTTTATGTACAAAAGCAAAAAATTTTTTTATTAACATTTTATTGTTGCGAAGCTTTTGACTATATTTCAAAACTATAGGGGAAAATGTCCAACAAAAGATGTTAATAAATTATGGTAAACCTCTAAGGGTTATTCAGTAACAACTAGGGTAATATTCATAAAAACATTTCAAAATGGCAAATACAGTTTCATAAGGCTAGCTAGTACAGCCTTTTTAAAAATACTAAGATCACAGTACATTTAAAATTTTCCTTATTTATACTTTTCTTGTGATTTCCAAATTTTCTAAAATGAGCATGTATTACTTTTACGATCAGAAATGAATTACTAAAACAAAAAATCATTGCTGTTTCTCAGACTCCCAAGTAGCTGGGACTACAGGTGCATGCCACCATGCCCAGCTAATTTCTTTTGTATTTTAGTTGAGATGGAGTTTTACTGTATTGCCCAGGCTGGTCTCAAACTCCTGAGCTCAGACAGTCCACCAGCCTCGGCTTCCCAAAGTGCTAGGACTACAAACGTGAGCCACCTGGGAACCTGGCAGGCAGAGGTTGCAGTGAGCTGAGATCGTGCCACTGCATTCCAGCCTGGGTGACAGAGCGAGACTCCCTGTCTACCAAAAAAAAAAAAAAATTAGTGCTATTTCTTCTACCACGAGGACACTTAATAAAAGTTGATTGGTAGTAGATAACTTAATTCTTGAATTGGCATGCCTGATACCATTAACCATAGAATATCCTTCCTGAAAGTGTTTCCTTTCTTAGCCCAGTGATACTTTTCTGTCTGTATTATATACCTTTGTGATTACTCAAGTGACTCTTCTCCCTGTGCCAACTCTTAAATTCAACTTATTTTTCCTTTGCCCTGAAGTCATGTTTTGCTGTATCAATCATTGTTCAATGAGAAAGTACTCAGTAATTTGAGGAGGACAAATTTAACATAAGTAATTACTATAAGAAGAGACTGGAGTAACAAGGACTGTCTCATTAAAATGCTAAAGAATATAGAAATATAGACAGAAGAAATATCCCCTACGCTAGGGCTAAGATGAGGTGTCCAAAATAGAGAGCCCCTTTCCTCAGGACTGAGTTGTAGACCTTGTTGGAGAGGACATAGCGTGGCTTAATGAATGGCAGGAAATTCTATGTGGCGCTGTGCCAGCAAAACCTGTTGGTACTTCACTCTGGAACTTTCTGGAAATCTGCCTCTAGGGAGCCTCATGGAGGGGTGTCTCTCTGGATGCACTTCAGTACAAAACTGCCTTAGCAAGGTACTGGGGGAAGTTGCTGGCATCTGGCTGCTTCTAGCTGCCATGTACTGGAAAAGGCCAGGTCTGAAGAACTGCATGCTGGAGGAACCAGACACTGCAGAAGGTACCAGTTCTGTAGGAACTGGGTGTGGGAGAAGCCATGTTCTTGCAGAAGCCTATTGAATGAACATACTGGAACCAGGCAGCATAACTCTTTCCTCCTGCAGTGTCTCTCCAGTGTCCTCTACTTAGAAAGCTTAACATTATGCCAGCTGGTAAAAGAAAAAAAATTTTTTTTCTCTGCATTCTCTGCCTTCAAAAGAACTGATTTTAAGGTCCCCAAATCATTTTTCAGAGCAGGCTATGAAGGAGAAATTTGGAGCTCAGAAGTAATAAATTGATAACTGGAATACTTGTTGGAGGGAATGAAGGGTTTCTTTTTGTTTTTTATATTCAATTCCTGACACATTCCTCTTTGTTTCTTTTAAACAACTTTAAAAGTGTATAAATCATTTTTGGCTCACTGACTTTACAGAAATAGGCTGTGGCATGGATTTGGCTGATTCCTGGCCTAAAGGACTGTTGTGTGATTGCTCAGCAGCATTAAGGATGCACTTGAGATTTATGACATTAAAGCGAGATCCAGCAGTATGTTTTTACCCGTGAACATGTTCAGTTCCTTAGGGGCATGTGTGGAGTTAAGTGGGTTACTCCACACTGAGAAGTGAGAAGAAATTAAGGAGTCAATGCAAAGGAATGATTAAAATAACTGATGATGAAACTCCAGCAAGGTGGGGGTGGACTGAGGATGTGAAGCAGAGGTTAAGGGCAGAGAAAGGTTGGCGGATCAATGAATTGTAGGTTCAGGATAACTTCTATTACCAGCCACTAGATTTATTTATTTATTTTTTCTGTTTTTTTCAATATAAGATGGAATGCAGACAAAAGAACAAGAACTTTAAGCATTTATCTATATTCAAATAAAAAATTCTTGAATGTGTAATGTTTAAGAAGTTAAATCTTAGTTTGTAGAGATGATTAAAATAAAAGAAATATGTCATCTTTATGTACAAATTAGCTTGTGATTTAATGATTGATCTCTGTCTAGATTTTGCTATCACTGGTCTTCCTCTGCATGGTTCTTATTCTTTTTGACACCAAACACAAAGAGTTGAGAAGAATTTATCTTAAATTATGGGTTGAGCCAAGCAGGTAATCCTGGACAAACTTTCACTCTTCATCTCTCTCCTTTTACCAATTAAAGTGAACAGAGGTGGATCTAGAGAAATTGATCAGAAATTCAGAAATTACATAATGGAAATCAGTGTTAAATATAATGTTTTTTTTTTTCCTCTTAGCATTTCTAATGTTCACTCCTTCTATAAAACTGTGTGCTTGTATTAAAACTGTTTTATTGGACTTTTTTTCCTTAAGAAAATTTTTGGTGTTTTGAGTGGGAGTTCACTTTGCCTTTATTGTCCTTATGGAAGACAGTGAATTATAGCTAGGCAAAAGATAAAAGAATCTTCTCTGCTAATTAAGGAATAGTTCATCTGACTAAATCATGGCAGTGTGAACATCTGGGAACTGTAGAAAGGGTATAAAATAAATGGAAATCAGTATTTTCAACTTTATCACTTCAGTGCCTTGAGACTTTGGAAATATAACTCAGTTTTTTTTCATTTGTATTATTTTTCAGTATTTCGACCCATATCTGCTAATGCCAAACTTGTGATGAATCGCCGATCTGATTTTGACTTTTCTGCCCCCAAAATAAACTTGGATGTTGAGTTACATAACATAGCAATTGAATTTAATAAGTCACAGGTGATTTTCTTTAACATAATTTTCAATTGTGAATTATTGTTTGATTAAAGCAAAACTAAGATTTTAAATGTTTTATGAAAATTCATGATGTTATATGGTAACATTTTCCTAAAAAGTCAGTATTGTAACTTTTATCTTCAGCAGTTGAACAAAAAAAAGTGATACATTTAAGAGCTTTAATTTTCCGTTCTTTAGTATTTCAGTATTATGGAGCTTCTTGAATCAGTTGATATGATGACCCAAAATCTGCCATACAGGAAGTTCAGACCTGACGTGCCTCTTCACCACCATGCCAGAGAATGGTAAATGCCTTGACATTTTTTTTTTTAGATTAAAAAAATATAAAAACAAATTTCTCAACTTCAAAAATAACCTTTAAGATATATACTATTTTTAAGGTCTGTTACAAACCATAATTGATGATTTATAGCTAGAAATGTATGTAGCTGCTTTAACTTATTGAGTTATTGAAATTGATTTAAGGGATTCTTCCTGACACAATTTACAACTTGAGATACTAGAATACCATGGTTTTTATTTACTATAGATGGATCAGTATATTTAGAATTATTACAGAAACAAATCCTGGTTTGTTTTCTTGCATTGTCTCTCTCCCACCCCCATCTCAACTTCCCTATCAGATACAATGAACCAGTATTATTAAACCTGTATTTTAAAACCTAAAAATGTTATGGAGTCTATGCAGGAAAATCCCATTTTAAAACTCAAAAGTCTTATTATTTCAGTTTTTAAACTGTTCCCTAGTTTCTAGAAGTTACAATTACTCTTTCAGTTGACTATTTTAGTTATTCAAATGACTAAAATATTATTTGCCAATTATTGCCTTAATAGTTCTTGTGTAGAACTATAACAAAATGGAATGATTTTGCTTATTTTCACTCTAGGAAAGAGGAAAGATTAATATTGAATGGATTATTAATGCAAACTGGGTTGGGTAAAAAGGAAGTACTCAGATAATATATCATTTTCCTAATCTTTGTATTATAGTTATGTATGTTGTTAAAGTAGAAACAATGTCTGTTATGTTTCATACTGTTGATGTGAGGATGTTAAATGTTTTTCTTTTTTTAACTAGGTGGGCTTATGCTATACATGGTATTCTTGAAGTAAATGTTTGCCCCAGATTACGGATGTGGTCATGGAACCATATTAGAAAACACAGGCAAAAAATGAAGCAATATAAAGAACTGTATAAAAAAAAGTTAACAAGTAAGAAGCCACCTGGTGAACTACTCGTGTCTTTGGAGGTTAGCATTTAAAAAAAAATTATTGAATGTTTTGTATTACATAACTAACTCCTTATTGGTCTTTAATGATTAATACTTCCAGTCTTTCACTCTAATTTCTATTGACCTTTTCATCTCTTTTACTTAGACATTTTTGTACTTCTTAACTTCAGCTGGATAATACAAGATTTGTTGAAATTCTGTGAGCTTTTGAAATTTGAGATTATTCTCAATCTGAAGGAATTTGGATTCATGCAAATAGTAACTTGAAACTTCTGTTCATTGTGCCATGTATTTATTTATTTATTTATGAATGAGACAGAGTCTCCCTCTGTTCCCCAGGCTGGAATGCAGTGGTGTGTTCTTGGCTCACCACAACCTCCGCCTCCCAGGTTCAAGAGATTCTCATGCTTTAGCCTCCTGAGTAGCTGGGATTACAGGCATGTGCCACCATACCCCGCTAATTTTTGTATTTTTAGTGGAGACGGGGTTTCATCTTGTTGGTAAGGCTGGTCTTGAACTTGTGACCTTTTGATCCGCCCGTATCAGCCTCCCAAAGTGCTGGGATTACAGGCGAGAGCCACCGTGCCCAGCCCATTTTGTCATTTTTAACCTTAAAACTCTAGTGTTTGTTACATTGATTCCAACTTCTCTGTGTTGGTTTCAAAGCCTTTTATGTGTCACCACCGCATTTTCCTATGTTACCATCTGACTATGCACTAATTCAGTGTTTCCTATCCTCTCTATATTTAATGCTTATTCTTACAGCCACATATGTGCTCATAAATGCTACCTGCCTTCCTTTATCTTTCTACCCACTCAATTCTACTCATCCCTGAAGTTGTTCTACTTAAGACTTATGATTTTATTTTTCAAAAAATTACTCCCTAGTTTACTCATTTCTATGCTGATATTTGTTCAGGCATTGCTTCCCAGAATTTAACATATGTGTTATATTGATGAATGTTCTGTTGTTTGCTTCCTATTATATCTTTTCTTTATTGCGGCAGTTTGATAGATTATGTGCTTAAATTATTTATGTAAAGTTATTTTTGTAAAGTTAACACATTTTTGTTTTTATTTTTCAGGAGTTGGAAAAAACCTTGGATGTCTTTAATATTACTATAGCTAGACAGCAGGCAGAAGTGGAGGTAATTCTAGGCTTTTCAATTAGTAAAAATATAATTGAATTCCATATAGATATGAGAGACGTGATATTATTAATCTTTTGCTGTAACATATTGTTTCTGAAAAATGGTTCAGTATGCTTTTTAGAATTATAAGAAAATTGTTTAATAATTTTGCCATATACATTTAAATCAGACAGATTTCTAGGGGAAAAAAATCTTTCTAAATAATTGGGCTTTTCAGATGTTCAGTTATGAAGGTAAAAAGCCAGTTTATCTTTTTATCAATCATCATTTCTTAAAGCATGGTGGAAAAACTATGTGGTACTCCTAAATTCTTATGTTTGGCTAATGTTGCAGTTACTGTGTTCTGTTATTAGTGTGTATATTGTTTACATTCATTTTGCTCAAGGAGATAAGTTCTCAAAATGTCTTGCTTATATTTGTTTCAGTTGCTAAATAAAG